TCTCGCTGCCCGGAGGCCGTGGAATCAGTTGAAGGTATGGAAACAAGTGGCCGCGTGGCACAGGGCAGGCTCATGCATCACAGCTCGAGCCCAGCTACCTGGGGTTCACCTGCAGAAACGTCCCGGGTCACCCAGGCCAGGAATCGCATTGGTTCCTAAGGGTCATCAGGGATAGGACCCTTGTGTGAGCCACATCGGGCTACATGTCCTATTCACCCCAGGGTGCACCGTTGAAGGCTGGGGAGATAGGAGGAAATATTTGGAGCACAGTGAAGTGTCCCCATTTTTTTGGATTATGGGGATCTCGGCCTCAGCCTGAGACCCTTCTCACAGGGTCTTTGGCAGGCACAAGAGCCCGGGGGCTCCTGTGTAGCACATGGGCATTTCCAGAGGCTCCCCCTCCGGTCTCACCACTCTGATGGCACGGAATTGGTTGTAAGTGTGGAATCGGCCGCGCGGCGGCAGTGCAGGCTCACACATCACAGTGCAAGCCCACCCCAGCCGGGGTCCGCCCACGGAAATGTCCCGGGTCACCCAAGCCAGGCGTCGCAGGGTTCACGGGGGTTGTCAAGGATAGGACACTCATGTGAGCCATATTGCGCTGTGTGTCTGATTCACCCCAGGGTGCACCGTTGAAGGTTGGGGAGATGGGAGGAGATACTTGGGGGACAATGAGGTGCCCCTGTTCCATGGATGATGGGGCTCTCGGACTCAGCCTGAGACCCTTCTCGCAGGGTCTTTGGCCAGCACAAGAGCCTGGGGGCTCCTTCGTAGCACGTCGGCATTTCCGGAGGTTTCCCCTTTGGTCTCACCGGTGAGATGGCATGGAATTGGTTGTAAGCATGGAATCGGCCGCGCGGCGGCAGTGCAGACTCACACATCACAGCTCGAGCCCACCCTGGCTGGGGTTTGCCTGCGGAAACATTCCGGGTCACCCAAGCCAGGCGCCGCGGGGTTCACAGGGGTCATCTGGGAATAGGACACTCATGTGAGCTGCAACGGGTCTTCAGGTCGGCCCATATCCGCAGCCCTGTATCTGCAGTCCTGTGGCCACAGGTCACACTCTGAGCCCTTCAGTGTCATGGGACTCAAGTCATGCCTACTCATGTGATGATCACAGCATGTTCCGCCAAAATCTTACATCCATCCCAGAGCACATATCCAACTCCGTCTAAGGACAGCCCCCAAATCCAAGCCTTTTACTAAACTGGCATCTGCTTCCCCGTGAACACTCCGAGCTCCTCAGCCCTAAGTGGCCAGACATTAACATTCCCATTCAGTGCAGGTTTGAGATGCTAATTCAGGAGCTTCAGATGCTAAAAAGCTGGGAGTGCCACCGCTGCTTTTCTCTGGGGTCCAGGGTCCTTGTGCTTCCAGAGATAACCTGCTAATGTGGGTGCAGCAGACACCCCGCGGTTTGTGGAATCGGGACAGGGTGGGGATCCTGACGGGGTTAGTATGCTCTGTGGTGTGGGTGTGCTTCTCTGCTCCATGCTCAGGGATCGTCCTGCCGGCTGGCAGTAGTTGCCCACGGAGAGGTGCATTTCCCTACTGGTGTTCCCTGTGCCCGCGCATTGCTGGGAGTGAAATTCCAGGGCAGCACCTGGAGCAAGAGTGAGGGCTCTGGGGAGCCGCCTTGCCTGGCGTGTTTGTATTTCCCGAATCTATCCAGGGTTTAGGGTGCCGTCCCCAACCAACTTATCTGCCAGCAATAGCGCAGAATCAATTGCAGCTAAGGAGACAGAAGTGGCCGGGAGGCGGCAGTGGTGGCTCACATCATGGTCTGAAGGTGACCAAGGCTGGACTCCACTTTCGGCAAAATGCAGGGGTCTGCCTCGGTCTCCTAACACAGGGGTCAAATTCATGGAAAAGCCTGAGAATTTTCATACCCTGAAGCTGGGGCTCACCCACGACAGAGCCTGGCAGTCAGTTCTCAGCAAGCCAGCACCCAGCCCCTCCCGGGAAGGCCATAGGAGCAGAGGGTTTGCTGAAGGCACGGCCAGCCCTTCCACATCCCAGAGGCCCTGCTGGGTGGTTGGACCATGAACTCTGGGTCCCTTGGCCCTGGTTCCCCCCGCCACCGCGGCTTCTATGCTCTAGACTCAGGTGAGCCCCATGGACCGCAGGGCCCCAACGACCCTCCCGAGAGGCCAAGGTGGTAACCCCCGGACCCACAGTGGAGTGGCTGGGGGAGACAAAGCTCTCTGGTCTTCACTCCATTCCCAGCAGTGGTGCCCGTGGGGGGCCTGGGAGAGGCTGTGAGGCCTCTGGCCGCTTGTCAGTAGAGTGCGCCCGCGAGCTGTGAGCCTGGCAGGGCAGCGTGCGGTCTTCAGATGGGAAAGTGGCAGCGAAGGAGACCTGGGTGCGCAGCGGGCTACGGGGACTCTGTCCTGCGGATGCCGCAGTGACGCACAAGCTCAGCCAACTGGATGGGAATCGGGCTAGGGGCTGGCACCGTGCCCATGTGGGCATTTGCAGCGCTTCCCTCTGCCCCTCAACACCCCCCACTCTCCAGGAACCACACCCCGTGGACTTCAGGACCCCTAGAGTGAACGTGAGGTCTGAGCTGTGGTGGTGGCAGGAAGGGGCTCTGTGTGCCATCTGAGTCCTCAGGGGCATGCTGATGGCCCCCAGTCCTGCGCAAAGTGTGTGCGGGGCACAAGGAGAGGGAGCAGCAGGGTGTAGTCCCTGGAGGGGAGGCAGCAGTCTTGGAAGGAGAAGTCCTTGACCCAGAGGGAGCCGATAGGGGCGATGCCAGGCCTTGTTTCCGGATGCCAAAGTAGGGGTGTGGGGAGGCCGTCTTTGGAGAATTCCAGGATGGGTGCAGGGTGAGAGAGACGTGTGCTGGAACTGTCCAGGGCGGAGGTGGGCCCCGCGGGGGCCCTCGGGAGGGCCCTGCTCTGATTGGTTGGCAGGGCAGGGGCGGGAATTCTGGGCGGGGCCACCCCAGTTAGAAAAAGCCCGGGCTAGGGCCGAGGAGCAGGGTGTGGGAGGGGGTGGGAAGGGTGGGAGGGGTGGGGGGTAACGGGGGAAACTGGGGAAGCGGGGAACCGAGGGGCAACCAGGGAAGATGGGGCGCTGGAGGAGAGTGTGTGGGAGCCAAGGAGCACCTTGGACATCTGGAGTCTGGCAGGAGTGATGGGTGGAAGGCTAGCTCGGGGGAGGGCTGGTGGGTCCTGGAGATAGGGCAACATCGGCTGGGGGAGATGGGTCCGAGCTAGCGCTGGAGAGAAGGGGGAGCCAGACATTCATCCCGGTCACTTTTGGTTTTCAGGACGTGGCAGCTGGTTGGACGAGGGGAACTGGTGGGCAGGGTTTGATCCCAGGGCCTGGGCAGCGGAGGCGTAGCTGGCAGCAGCAGGCAGGTGAGAGCCCTGTCTGCCGGGCAGGTGAGTCCCTTCCCCTCCCCGGACCTCGTGTCCCCGACCTTCTGAAAGAAGGAGGTTTAGGGGATCGAGGGCCAACGAGGAGAAGTAGATGCCCGCCCGGCAGAGGGGCAGAATGGGGGCAGGAGAGTTAGCAAAGGTGACATCTTCTCGGGGGGAGCCGAGACTGCAGAAGGCTGGGGGGCTGTGAGCCCATCCCAGGCAGAAAGAGCATGAGGGCAGGGAGGGAGCACAGAGGCAGCCAGCGAGGAGTCCAGCAGGTGGGGTGGCACCCCAGCCCGGGGTCAGACAGGAACGAAGTAGGGGACACAGGATAGAGGGGTCCCCAGCTGCCGCACTCACCCACTGTAATTCATTTAGTAGATGGCACAGGGGCAGCTCCGGCAGGGCCTTCTCAGGCCAATGCCGGAGCCTCGAGGGCTGGAGAGAGAGCAGGAAGGCAGGCAGTGCTCGGGGAGCCGCAGCAGGATGTCACCAAGAGGGCGAAGCGGCCGTGGGAGGGGGTCCCGGGACATTTCGCAGCAAGGAGGCTGCAGGGGCCCCGCCCGCGGGCGCCGTTCCCACGAGGCACTGCGGCCCAGGGTCTGGTGCGGAGAGGGCCCACAGTGGACTTGGTGACACTGTATGCCCTCACCGCCCAGCCCCTGGGACTGGCTTGACAGACAGTTCAGCATCCAGGGGAGTCAAGGGCATGGGGCGAGACCAGACTAGGCGAGGCGGGCGGGGGGGAGTGAATGAGTCTTCTCAGGAGGGAGGCGGGCACAGGCAGGGTGAGGAGCACAGTGGGCGGCGATCGTGGGGCACTGGCCTCCAGAGCCCGTGGCCAAGGCGGGCCTCGCGGGCGGCGATGGAGCAGGGATCGGTGCCTCGGCGTTCGGGCTGGAGACAAGGGTGAGTTTTTCCTCCTTTGCCCCCCTCAGCCTCCACGCAGCCCTTCCCATACCACCAACACCTTTCTCGTCCTCCCCACAGCCAGGTCTCCAGCTGGGGTGGATGAGCCCACCAGCCGCCGAAGGCCAGGACGCCAGGTCCGGCGGACGTACGGAGAGGGACATGACATGGTCCGGAGTGACGGCGAGGACAGAGGAGGCGCGTCCGGCCTTCCTGGTGAGCATGTCCGCCCTCCCTGCTCAGGACTCAGCCCTGCCCTGACCGCCTGGCCGAGCCGCCATCTCACTGCCCCCTCTCTGTCTTCTACAGAACATCCTTGGCTGGTGGAGCAGGCTGCGGCAAGAAGTGGGTCTCTTCCTTGACTTCCCCGACGGGGTCGGCACACTACTGCTGGTCTTTGGACTCCCAGAACCCACACAATGCAAGGTGAGGGGCCTCCTGCCACACCTCTTGGGGGGGCTGGGGGTCACGTGGGAGGAACTCAGTGGGACCTCACTCTTTCCCCACCCACAGAAATGGTGCTACCCAGCTCACGCCTGGGCCTTTGAATCCAGAAACGTCTGCATGTACCTCTCACTGATAACAGGAATACTGCACTTTAAACCACTGCACACCCTCACTCAGGAATCGGCCCTGGAAGGTGAGCCCCGCACTCCTTCTGTAAGCCTTCAGGCCCCCAGCACCCTGCCCCCCTGACCCACATGTCGCTCTCTGCAGGTGAAGCTGAAGGAACGAGACCTCATCAACCCAACACCAAAGACGCCATGGGAACAGCGGCGCCCGCAGCACCCACCCCCCACCAGCGACTCCATCTTCGTGGCCACGCCCTGCCGTGGACGGTTGACCACCAGCCACCACGTCATCCCAGCGCTGAGCTCCTCCAGCGGGATGACCCCGTCCCACCACCTCCCTCTTCTTTTTCTTCATCCTTCTGTCTCTTTGCTTCCGACCTTTCCTGTCTTTCTTCCTGGGAGACTCGAAGCCTCCACAGCTCTGTCCCCCGCCCCTTCTGAATTCATTTGCACTAAGTCGTTTGCACTGGTTGGAGCTGTGTAGACGGCCTTGAGTCTCCGTGCGAGTGTGTGTGAGTGAGAGCCACCTTGGCGAGCGCCCGCCCGGGGCCCGGCCGCCCTCCAACTGGGCCGGGTAACTGGGTGCGGGTCGTGTGCGTGAGGCCTCGCCCACCCTCGCCTAGTCTGGAGGCTCCCGCGACAAGGAGCAACCTTGAAGCATTCCATTACGCCCCATCTCGCTCTGTGCCCCTCCCCACCAGGGCTTCAGCAGGAGCCCTGGACTCATCATCAATAAACTCTGTTACAACAACTTGTCTCGGGGTCTTTGGAATCGAGGCTGTGGGCATGATGGGGGGGAGGCCAGCCTTGGATGGGGGGTTGGGGGAGGAGGGGGGAAGCACATGAAAAGGGGGTGGGGGTTCCAGGGTGGGGGATCCTGGGATAAGTGCAGCACAGCACACACAGGGAAGGGCTCCTGAGGTGGGGGGAGCAGAGGGGGTGTGGACATCAGGGGTGCAGGGGAGGCGGGCACCAGGCAGGACAGTGGGGGAGGGGCTGTGGGGCCAGGGGCTCCACAGAGACAGGGGGGCCTGGGCTGGCAGAGGGGTCCTGAGTTCTGAGGCAGGGGTCAGGCACCCCAAGTGAGTTCCTCCTGCCACCCCAAAGTCCCATCAGAATGAACCTTGGTGCTGGCCCAGACCCCTGAGGTGTGGGCTAGGTGACCGGGGAAGGACTGACTGTGGCCACTCCAGGAGGCCCACAGGGTGCTCTGGGTGACCCCACCCCTCAGGGTCCCGAACCCCCGGCCCATGCAGACATTCATTGTCCCCTTCCCGCTCCCCTTCTACTGTGGATGGGAACCAGGCCACCCCAGAGGGCTGGACCCCCACAGGGAGCCAGTGGGTGGGGATGGGAGCTGGTGGGCTTCTCAGTATGCAGGTGGCCTGGGGGCGGAGGTGCTCAGGGGGCCGGGGGCCGGAAGGAAGAAGGAAGGAGTTGACGTTGGCTACAGGGAGGAGCAGCGGGAGGAGCGGGAGGAGCGGGGGGCCCAGGGTGAGGGGCGCTCGGGATCTTTCACCGGGGTCGTGGGAGGAGCGGGGGGCCCAGGGTGAGGGGCGCTCGGGGTCTTTCACGGAGGTCTAGCCGCTGGAGCCCCAAGAACCCCCATGTGCAGGGGTTTGCCCCCTGGGTGCCAAGGCAGCCCACTCAGGGTTCAGGGACAGCGTCCCCACAGCGGCCAGAGGCCAGGATCTGTCTCATCCAGGCCTCCCAGCTCCCGGGCCCTGGCTGCACAGGCGCTGGGAACCCGGGGCAGTCCTTGGAAATAAGGCTGGGGTCCCAACCTCCCTATTCCTTCCCCCTCCCCCCTCCCCTCCACCCCCATTCCCAGTGCTCAGAGCTGTCAGGAAAATTCCTCCCCGACTGACAAAGAACAGACAGGAAGGCGGTTAGGGACGCCCCTCCCCTGCCGGCCCGCCTGCCTTGGGGTCTCAGTGTCCTGGGCAGAAGAGCAGGGTGGCCCCCCACACCCCTTGGGTCGGGTCTCCCCCCTGCACCCTCTCTTGTTCCCTCCCCACCCGGTCTGTCAGAGACCCAGGGTTTCCAGGGACACGCTTGTGTGCTAAAACCCGGGGGCGGTCGCCCCCCAGGAGGCACACAGGCATCCGGAGAGGAGAGGGAGTTTCTCGAAGCCTCCGGGATGGTGCCCCTGGGGCTGCCGCCATCTCACAGAGGAGGTCAGAGGTCGCTGGGGCCAGCCCAGGGTGAGGCCACATTCATCTTCCTGATCCTACAGGCCAATTTGACTTACCCAAGTGGGTTTTTGCCGGCAGGATGAAGTAACACGTCCATTACATGTCAAGAGTTAGGTCTATAAACCGCCTTTATTATAAACAGCCAGCTCTGCAGGAGGTTTACAAAGAGGGGCTCAAGAGATTAAAGCCGGCTTCCCCAGGTGGCCGGGCAGGAGGACCATAGGAACGGGGAGAGGGGCGCCCAGAAAACCTCACCTGGGGAACACAAAAGACTGCCCGCTTCAAATCCCCACCTGGGGAAGGACGATTGGGAACTGGGGCCATGGGAAAGGCAGGCCATCCTGGGCATTTGTCACCTGGGTCAGCTCTTAGGGACTGTCTCCTCCTGGTCACTTGGAGAGGACAGGCATGCTGCTCACATCTACAGTTCTGAGCCCAGGGGTGTATGACGGACACACGTTCACTCTGGGGTTTCCACCTGGGAGTTGTATAGGAATGGAGCTGCTCCTTCTCACACTGCTGGGGAAGAGACACAGGCCTCTTGGTGGCCCCTGCCATCTCCCAGCACTGCCCATGGCTGCATCCACGCTGGCAGCCCCCGACAGCAGGACGTGCATGCGTGGGCACCGCCTACCGCCAGGAAGCTGGCGTTTCTATGCCCCCCGCAGCAGAATAGGCCTCCTAGGGCAGTTCCCGGGTGATGTCCCCAGGGCAGGCCCTGAGTGCCGGAGGGGCTCTGGGCCCTGGGCCCTGAGACAAGGAGGTGGGGGAGCAGCGTTCTGGGGGCCAAACCTCAGGGTGAGGTGGCAGCCAGGGAGCCCCAGGCCCGGGACCCTGCAGCGGGTGCTCTGCCTCGGAGCCTCCTGCCGCGCCCTGGAGGGGGCTGCCCGAGCCCCCAGCTCTGAGCTGCCTGCCAGGTTGGAATGTGTGTTTATCTTTGGCACAACCCGATTTCCTGCTTTTTAGAAAAGGGGCTTACAGAAGGTTGTTAGACAGGATCCAGGCGCCCCAACACCCAAAGGCACTTTCAAAATGCCCCTGTGCTGACTTCAGTGCGGAGAAGCAAACGGGGGCTTGAATTTCACTCCCGAACCCCGACATGGGGGTGGTGGGTGGGGGCGGTGGCTGGCTGCAAAGGTGTGCGGAAATCTGGGGAGGGAGGAACTTCCAACATTAGGGGAGACCCTGAGAGTGCCCAGGCTGCCAGCCACGTTCCCAACCCTGTTAGGCGCCGGGTCTTCACACCTGAACCCTCCACCCACGCACATTTCAGTGGCAAGTTTATGCTGAGTGAAAGCCAAGTCACCCCGCTACAGAAGGGGCATTGAGGTACTGTTTGTGTGCTGCTGCCTCCCATCCATCCCGGAGATGCTCCTCGGGGTGTGTGTGTGATCGGGGCCCCGTCGCGGGGTGATGTTCCCTGGAGAATGGAGGACCCTTGATCCTGGCTGTGTGTGTCTTGTGCCTTTGTGTGGGATCGTGTCTCAGCATGAATTCTATGACCTAGGAGCACGTTTTCCGGCAGGGAGTAGGGGCAGCTGGGGTGGGAAGAGTCAGGGCACGCGGTACCCCACTGATGAGGTAGAAAACTCCAACTTGACAAAGGGAGTAAAGTCCCTTAACAGGGGAATGTGACTTTGGGGTCTGACTACCATGCACCCTGGGAAGCCTCAAAGAAAAGGACGGTTGGGGCCCAGAGGAGGGCAGCCCCTACCCCACCCCCAGCTCCCAGGAAGACAAATGGTTTTCTTCTTTCTAGAGATGGGGGAGGTATCTGAGCACTCAAAGCTAAGGGCACCGTGGGTCCAGGTGGGTGCCCTCCTCGGCCCTCCCAACAGGGGAGGCAGGCCACCAGCACCTCAACCTGAACCCCAGCTCGGTCTCAGGGAATGGCCTCCCCAGACGGAGGTGCCTGTGGGTCTGCACGTGTGTGCGTGTGTGTATATATGTATGTGTGTGCGTGCATGTGTATGTGTGTGTGTGTGCGCCTATGCACATGTGTGTACCTGTGTGCGTGTATGCATGTGCACGTATGTGTGTGTGATGCCTGCCAAGCCCCACAGAGCCAAAGGCCTGAGTGGAGACCTGTAACTTCCTGAAAGGGAGATTGGAAGTTTCAAGAAGGAGCTGTGGTAGGCCTTGCTCTCCCCTAAGGCTGCGAAGCCCAGGCCTGCCCCCCCATCCCTCCTTCCCTCCTCTGGGCCTCTCCTTTCTCCTTCTTCCCCCTTCGCCCCGCTCCCCGGCCTGCTCCTAGTGACATACTTGGCCACTTTCCAGGGCTGAGGGAAGCCAGCAGGGCCCCTTCCTGGAAGCCCACCTGCAGGCCGGCTTGCTGGGAAGGGGCTGCTCTCCGCGCAGGCTCCCGCCCGCCCTGCGGCCGTTTCCTGGAAGCAGTCGCTGTGGGTATTCTGCTCCTTGTCAGCACTGTGCTTGCAAAGAAAGCAGACACTGTGCTCCTTGTCCTTAGGGAGCCCTGCTCCATCACCCAACACCTGGCTGGACACAGGCGGGAGGCCGGGTCCACGGGGAGCGGCGCGGGGCTGGGGCTGGACCAGTAAACACACACGGGCGCCAGGGGCTGCAGGCTCCTCCTCCCTCCTGCCAGGGGCCTCTGCTCGCAGGCACGAGCCAAGCCCCTGGGCAGGGAGGCCCGGCAGTGGGTGCAGAGCAAGCTCCCGGGAAGGGGGTGCCATGTGGAACCCCAGGGAGAAGAACTGGCAGGGCTGTAGGGGACGTTGAAGGTGGGCCCCTCACTGCAGAAACCCGGCTGCCTGGGGAAGTCTGGGGAGACACGAGGCTCTGAGGCTTCACGGAGGCCTGGCGTGGGGAGGCCGCACAGCAGCGCGCACCCCGGAGCCGGGGGCGGGGAGACCGGGCCCAGGAATAGAAGAACAGAAAGGTGGCTAGGAGGCCTGGGAACACGCTGACCTTCAACAGAGAGAGGGGCCTGCCCTGGGGACGCAGAGGCGCGGGGGTCCAGCCCTGCCCAGGGGAGCCGCATGTGCAGGATGCATAGCCAGCTCTCAGTGCATGGACCAGGGAGCCAAGGCAGGACAGCAGAGACGGACAGCAAGGAGCAGAGAGGGGGCTCCGAATACTCCCAGGAGGAACATTCTCCGGAAGAGACGGCCTGGGGGGTGGCTGTGGGGAGCCATCGTGGCAGCTACGGCTGTGGCAGATGGAGGAGAGGCCGGTGGGGTGGAGGTGCAGGGGTCTGGGGCCCACATGCTTGCGACAGCGGGCAGGCCCAGGGCTCTCCGCCACTCCCTATTCCCACTTGGCTCACAGGCTGGGCCCAAGGGTGGGGTGGGATGAGCAGGAGATGGGGCCCAGGGGGGAAGCAGGGCCCCAAAGGACATTTAGAAAAACCGGTTTATGCAGGCTGCATTCAGAGCATGTGGCGTGTGTGGAAGGGGCCTGGGAGCACGGAAAGGTGCAAGCAGGGCCCCCGGGGGGCTCCCCATTGGCCGGCAGTGACATCACCCCTGTGTCAACACTGTGATGTCTGCAGCTCCGGCCAGCCAGGGTTTATGGAGCGAGACCCAGCCCG